TCTCACTGCCTCCAATCTCCCTCTCTCTCTCTCTCTCTCTCTCTCTCTCTCTCTCTCTCTCTCTCTATATATATATATATATATATATATATATATATAAACATGTGCTGAAATGTTTGGTTTGAATGTTACATTCTTTTTTCATGTAGTCCTCTCTGATGAAAATGTTTGAGCCTAGAGGTAGAATGTATACAATGACGAATCCTGTCCTGTCTTCCCTCCCTACCATACTGACAAGTCCAGTGTCTACATTGACCAGTCCAGTGTCTACATTGACCAGTTCGGTGTCTACATTGACCAGTCCAGTGTCTGCATTGACCAGTTCGGTGTCTACATTGACCAGTCCAACATCTGCAAAGCCAGATCAAAATGAAAAGGTAACTTATCTGTATGGACTTGAAATTATGTTGTTTCGCATCTCTCACATCTGCTTGTTCTCATTTTTCAGCTCTTTATAATTACAACCATTGTTGACAGTTATTTTATACTTCCTGGTCTTTTTTCATATTTCTAACTTTCCTCTCCTAATCACAACAGGATTGAGCTACCCTTCTCATTTTCTGTTGGGGGGCCTAAGAAATCTCGATGTTATGTGTTTACGTTTCATTTTTTCATGTGTTTTTCAACTTGAATCTTGCCCTACTCCCCAGACAGTGCATGTACCTATAAAAATATGTTGCACATTTAAGGTTTTACATGTATATACATATGGTTTTAAAAGACTAAAAACTTTTCAGAAACCAGTGCCATCCACACTCGCAAAGCTGAAAAGGTGTTTCTCCAGTGCATTTGCCAAAGATGTCCAGCAGGCTGATGGATCTCCTGTGTCAAAACGTGAGTATGGGTCTTGTGCTGATTGCCACCACTGAGGGCACCTGCTATAATACAGTGTGTCATCTGTTATGCCTCAACCTGAATACACATGCTGATGTTTCATTGTGTAAATAAAATTACGAGACGATAATACACAAAATTTTACTAAATCACTGATACTGACATTTGTACTGCATACACAATTATTAACTGGTAAATCATTTTTTAAATAATATCTGGCAATACATTATTATTATGATAACATATTGCATCCTTGCATGGAGACTTTTTACTGCTGTTCACCTGTTGCTTCACCTAAGCAATGAGGTTACTATTAATTGTAACTGACAGACATTTGTGTATCCATTTATATTTTCAAGAAAGTATTACTAAGAATTTTCCACCAAAATGGCCAATATCAGCCTGAAAAAATGCCCCCTATACTGAAGGCTAGCAGTTGTGTTTTAGAGCTGTTTTTAAATGCTGATTTCATGCTGAAGTGTGACTGAAACAATGTTAAATCACACTCTTGTGGAAAGACCAAACCTTCAGCAGTTAACAGATATAAAAATTGAGCCTTGCTTCTGAGAATAAATCCAACTAAGAGTGCATTTTTCTGGGTTGATTTTGTCATTTTGGAGGAAAATTCTTGGTAATACGTTCTTGATATTATCTACACTGGAAATATAATGATCTTCATAAAATTAATTGGTGCTCATATTGTTCTATAGAAGCATACTCACGGGTGTTATTTAAGTATACTCAGAGGTGTATGTCCACTATGCTAAAAATTATATGCAATTTTCACTTCCTCCATATGAATGAAAATTTTGTTTCTTTATTTTCAGAGAGATGTCTTGATAGTTTTGTGTCATTGCACAGTTTCAAGTCTAAAACTTCCTCTGAGAAAATTCTTAACCAAAGTGGCAATGGTCTTCATCTTAAATCATCACCAGACTCTGCATTTGCTTCACAGGAAACTTACGCAAGTCAGATTTCAGATGGAGCAGATTCCGAGTCAATATCAGACATCCACATATTGGAGGATTCTGTGTCCCAAGGACCGCCTTTCAACCAGTCGTGGAACAGAATGACAGAAGACGATGATTCACCTTTAAATGTTGTAGATTCTGATAGTTTAACAACATATGGTCAACATAATGATAGAGACAGTTGTGCAAATGATGTTTATCTAGGCTTTACAAATAAGACTTTAGAGTCAAGTTCAAATTCAAAGTCAGATTTTCACCTGGAAAACAGGACTAAGTCTTTAATTTTTCATGCTGAAGAATTATCTGATAGACAAATGGCAGAGGATTCTGCAAGCAACTTAGGAGGGAAATGTGTAATATCTGATACTGACATCAGTTCAAAACATTTACCATCTGCTATAAGAGAAGTTTTTTCATCAAACAATACAGTTAAAGATGGTGGAAATAGTGAAAGTGTCAAAGAAGCTGACAGTCGCCACAAATTTGATGAGACTGTGGCAGAGGGAGAGAATCTGAATAATATACAAGTGATACAAAAAGAAGTGGTCTGTATAGGTTTTTATTTATACATTTTTAATTTACATATTTCTAAATGAGATTTTTTTAATGTATGTAATATTTTGTTTTCTTTTGTTATTTGTGATAAATAGTGAAAAAAGCACAGGTAATCTCTTTGACTTATTGTCTGTCAACAGCACTGTATTTCATTTGATGGATATTAGGCTTTATTTATAAAACGTTTATTGGACTTTGTATGATTTATTGCAGGACCAGTTTGAAAGTGTGAAACGAAAAGAGCATGCTATTCCCTTCTCCATGTCTGATCTGAAGGAAATGCTACAGAAGAGAAGAGGTATAGAGTCTAACAAAATGTACTGTAGTTTTTATTTTTTGCTCTATGTTAATGAATTAAAGAGAACTTGTCATTTTGTAAAATTTATTTATTTATAGAACTGGGTAAAGAAGAGTCAGGGGAAGTGTGCAGAAAGTTTAGAGCCACTATCTCTCCAACTGACAATACAACAGCCGAGGAAGAACTGAAAAAAGAGATAAGGTTAATTATCATTTAGTTTTTCTTATATAATAAAACATTGCAAGACATTGTCAAGTAGATGGGAGATGGCAAAGTATTGCACATCTTAATGTCTTTTTCCATTAGCACATAGCAAGAAAATGTCTAATAAAAATTTGGGATGTATTTATACACTGTCAAATGTTAATTGCATTTTATATATTAGTATAATATGAGCAATACATTTTTATTATGTACAGACACAGATGTGTCTGTACATATTGCCATCACTTGCGTCTGTCGTCGCCGATGGCGATGCCGATGGCGATGCCGATGGCGATGGCGATGCCGGCGCCGTGCACTTTCCTTGTAAACACGATAAGTGGAGGGCAGTTTTACTTTTTGGCTTTATATTTACAGAGCTGATGAATATTCATAAAACGCAGGTCAAGTTCGAAAATCAGCATGATCGGGCCATTATTGTAGAAGTTATGCTGTTTTTTCACTTTTCAGCATATTTTTCACATTTCCTCAGATTCAATTCTTAGGCATGTTAACAGTCTCATTATTAAACTAATAAGATACGTAAAAGTGTTTGTTTGACATTTCCTGCATCTTTACAACATTGTTAGTTGATTTTGTAAAAATGATGGTAAACTTGTTATCGTGTATTGTGTAATAAAGT